CCCCATATTAATAATAATCTCTCAGGAGACTAGTTGTCATGCTTTTTTTCTAATTTCGAAAGCTAATTTCTGTAATTATACCTTATACCTCAAAGTCAATATTGGGGCATGTTGTCACAACAGAACCTGCCATTAAACAGCTTATTATGCCTTGTGAAGAAGAAGTGTGCTTAATTGTATTGGATGTGCACTTGTAGCGTACTTCAAATCTTAAAAGTACATTTTTATAAGTAAATGTACTTGCAGATAATATACTATTAATGAAGTAAAAGGCCACTTAAGTGACTTAAAGAGAGACAGTTTCATGACTGTTTCTTAACTCACTCAAGCAGACTTAAGTGAACTTTCTAATAATGACAAAATAAACTTTAAGGTACATTTTAAATCATTGTTTGAATATTTTGTCGTGTTTTAAATAAATACACTTATTTGCACATGGAAAGTACTTGATTATCATTTTAACTGTAGTGTGCTATTCAATATTATTTGAAGTTAATATATTTTAAATGTGTTAAATTACAGTGTCTACAAATGTGTAATTACAGTTTATCAAAAGAAATTACATTAAAGTATATTTTAGTTGATCATTGTCTGTTCGTTCAGCAGTAACTTTAACCATATTTAAATGACAATAGACGTAATTATGAAATTACATATAAAGATGTACTGAAGCTACTTAAGTGCGTGAAAAACACTCTAAAGTTCAGCTAATTGCACTTAATATAAATTTTAACACATTTTCACTTAATTGTAAATAACATACAATTAAGTGTTTGAAAACTTAAAATATTCTTTTAAAGTATTTTATTTCTGTAATAAGTGCTCTATTTTCCCACGATATTTAAGCAGTTAAACATTTATGAGGCACAAAATGATTCAACAGCAACAATGTCAAAAGTTCTGGCCACCATATATTGTAATTATTAAACTGCATAAATAAAAATTAGAACTGCAAGTAGATTTGTCTTCTTAAACAATCCAGTTAATTTCCTGTGCCTTTCCAAAGTATCTGTGATGCCTGATTCTGCCTCATTCATGTGATTTCATACAAAAAAAAATTTTCCTGTAACAAAATATTAAATGAAAGTTTCATCTGCAACACACACACACACACACACACACACACACATACACACATACACACTCACACTATCACACACACACACACACACATACACACTCACACTATCACACACACACACACTCATACTATCACACACACACTCACACACACACTCACACACTCACACACACACACACACACACACATACACACTCACTCACACACTCACACACTCATACTATCACACACATACACACACACACTCTCACTCACACACACTCACACACTCACACACACACACACACACACAGGGTTGATCATGTTATGTAAATGGCCGGTCTCGGAGTTCTGCGTGTGCAGACAAGCTGTAATTCCAGTTTAAAGGATCTGATGTGGATTCACTGTCAGCCGCTGAAACTCATGAGAAACTCAGATTACAGTACGCTTAAAAAATGCTATTTCCATCTTTTTATCTACTGTTTCTTTGTAGTTTATCTTTATCTAACATTTTATCTACTGTTTCTTTGTAATTATTTGTGAAATTTACTTGAAAATTCTGACTGAAAAGTGCTTCAAAGTCACATGTTTTTCAGTGTGTTTGTCTGCTGTCAAGACTTGTTTTAACAAGTTTATGTCGTTACATCTTATCATTTATTTTTACAATCCCTACAAAAAAGACATGATATAATTCAAACAAACAAACATAAACAAACAGGGTAGTTAACTAAAACTGAAACTAAAATTAAAACCATTAAAAATAACATTTTCCTTACTTGAAATATAATAAACATTAACTGTCATAAAACTCTTTTTTATTCCAGCTAGTTTCCAAGGCAACATTTCTCATTTTAATTTAGTTTAACTTGGTGTAGCAAAATGACAAACTGAAACTATCTAGACATATATGCTATACTACAAATGACAAAAACAAAATAAAACAAAGAAATAATCACATCATATTCTTTTAATGACAATGATATAACAATATGGCCTGTGTTTTAAGGCTGTGCATGTGCTGAATGGCACGATGTCTTTAATGAGAGTGATTAAGTGTGTTGTTTGAAGCTGAGACGAGCCGCTGATCAATCCACGAGTGTAGTGTGACGATCAGTGGAAACAAAGACTGGCGCTGATGAGCTGTGATAAAAGCTGAAGCCTGAAGAGTGTAGAAGTGAGCCGCATGCATGTCTGTACAGTCATGTTAGTGTTAGGTGGCGCAGACCAGTGGAGTGCAGGATGATAATTAATACAGTCTTTCCATCAGATCGATTGCTAACGCTCCAGCCGCATCAAACAACACAGAGAGAGTCAAACACATCATCACGTGATGAGCAACAAGTCCTTCTGAATGTGCTTGCACGGCCTCAAGTGTGCTTCTGAAAGCATTCCTCCGAATGTCCACGGACACCGAACATCACAGCTTTTGGAAACACAAGAGACTTTTCAAATGCATACCTGTCGTTTTGATCTTGTTTCACCTGATTTTGTCCAAAGGCCACACTGGACCCCATTGACTTTCATTGTTTAGACAGAAGAGTGAGTACATGACAGTAGTCCACTACTGAATACAAAACACATGATGAAAATCATACTTAGTAGCTTAATCGAGTACATTACACATTCTAAGTAATATAGGGTTGAATTCAGGTAAATTGGGACACTTTTCAGCTTTCAGATGACTGGGAAAAAACGAATAAACATCCCAGTTAAGCTGAATTCATCTTATCGATTCAGTCGAATTACTTTTGGTTTATTTTAATCATTACATTACGCCGGGATTTCTCAAACTAAGGTTTGTGAAGGAACTGCAGGGGTTCATAAATTGAAAAGCAAATGATTAATTAAATCTTAAAAATGTGAAATTAAAAGAAATGAATCATTTAAAAAAAATAATAAAATATTTTTTAAATAATATTTTAAAAATGAATTATTAAAATAATTTTAAACACATTTAAAAAAATAAAAATAAAAGCTTATATATTTTATTTGTTTATGCTGTGTGGTTGCTCTTTTTTTATTCAAAAAGTTAACAAATTAAAAGATTTAAATAAAGAATACGAATTCGGGAGGATCAATGAATTACTGCCATTTTTTGAATATTAAGTCATCACATAATCTATAAAAAAAGTAACTGTAGTCTGAGTATTTTAGAACGTAATGTAATCTAATTACAAATATGTAATTTTTGGTATCGGATTACGTAATAAAGGATTACATGTAATCAGCTCCTACGCTGTACATGAGGACACGGTGGTTATGTTGGTGCCAGGAACGGTTTTATCCTTCCGTCAGGGATCACTCTTACAGGCTCCAGCATCATCAGACTGTCACATGGCTGGGAATATCCCAGTTTAACACATGTTCAGCCAGCGTGTCAGAACAAATCCTCCCAGTCTGTGGAGAACAGAAGCGGAGACGCTGGTTCTGCTCTTACACTTCGGAAACCTTATCTTTGTTTTGCAATCCTGGTACAGAGTTCCATTACACGCATTACTGGATATAATAGAGTCATAAACCTGGCGGATGCATGGAGCTTCCTCTGGGGCTTTCGTTTATGAGTAATTGAGATGAACTTTATTTGAAGAGACTTCCGGGTTGAGCTCTACAACATAAACACACACTGCGACATCTGGATTTCGACGCTTTAGTTTTGAGATTTCTATGTCATTAACAAAACCCTTCAAATCATTTTAAACACTGACCATATTTGGTTAAAACCCCTAAACCTGTCTATAGAGGATCAGATCAGATCTGAACACAGGGCCAGCAGGTGACCATAACTCTCATGATATCTTATCCACACGGTTGTGAAACTCTCCGCAGGAATGATATAACATGAGATGAGTTTACAGTAAACCTGAGATGTTTTCTGGTCAGAGTCCAGCGGGACTCATTGAGTTGAGACCAAGCAGCAACTTCTGCTCTCTCAGAGAAACCAACACGGAAGTGACTTAAACTGTAATTCATCGACTGGCCGCTAGAGGCGGGCTGCAATAGTGAGTCAGTCCCATAGACTCCTCATGTTAAAATACCCAACTTTACAGCAGAAAAAAACATGTTTGCAGTCTGGTACAAACAGTGGTTTTGGTCTATATAGCTAATGTTGCCCTTCATGACAACTGTGAGAGATGTGATTTTTTTATAACTCATCCGTTTAAATGATATTAAGCCTTAAAGTTCTGCATAATTAAGGGCGTGGCCACTTGAGTGACAGGTGGATTGCCGCTGCTGTCACCGGTGTCGAGCTAGGTGGGCGTGGCTTCAGCAACCAGCTCCCGCCTCTTTGCCCATTTTCGATTATCTGGGAGTGACGCGCTGCCAAGATGGCGACGGCCGGCTCCGCCCACTTTGAGCTTCAAAAACTCTCTTCGGAAACCTACAGGTGACGTCACAGACACTACGTCCATGTTTTATACAGTCACTGGTTGTGACACATTTTATCAGCTGAGTGTGGCGCACTCTAAAAACACTGTTAAAGGGACAGTGCCCCCACAGATCTGTCATCATTTGCTTTGAATGAATGAACTTCTTTCACAAAACACAAAATGAGTTACTATATATATACTGTGTATATATATATATATATATAAGATGAATTGTGACTTATAATGTCAGGGTTCAAGTTCATGTAAAATCACCCTAGAAGTTGAATCAAAGTAGTCCACATGACTCATGCACTATTTTCCAGGTTTTCTGAAGTAATGCCATAACTTACTTTTTTAAGCATAATTGTTGTTGCTACCTATGGAAGCTTGTTTCTGCCACGGGATTAAAGTCAGAAAAAAAGTCAGAATTGTGAGATTAAAACAATTACATGATTACTTTTATTATTTTGTATTTCCTGCTGGAAACTGGCTTCCGTAGCTATTGATCTTCAGTCATGGTCATGGCGTGGAAAGACCACCCAGCTCAGCTTGCTGTGTCCTGCAGAGGGAGGGCCTCCGCCGATCTGAACAATGGCGCTGTTCTTGTCTTCAGCAGAGCTGCTTTAAAGCTGAAACTGGATTTTTTGACAACTGGTGCATTGGGCAACATTATTTCCCGTGTGTTAATGTGAAGCTGTGTTGTTTGAATAAATGCGAGTCGACAGTAACACAAACAGCTCGGTGTGACTGCGCCTTTAAGAGACGCGCCGCTGGTGACGCGCCGCGGCCGGTGGGCAGGAGGAGTGCGTCTGCGCGATAGAGAGGCGCGTTGATCGCTCCCGGAGCGCAGACACGGCACACGGTCGGCGGAACGCGCTTCTAATGCTGGGCCATCCTCACCGCACAACACTCACCGAACGGAGCAGCGGCCGCGCCCGATCCCGGAGACCGGCGGAATAACGGCGGACTGAAGACAGCAGGGCGGCTCGACACGGGTGCACGGAGAGAGCGAGAGAGAGAGAGAGAGACACTGCCCAAGCGCTCACAGCCATGAGAGAATACAAAGTGGTCGTGCTGGGATCCGGCGGCGTGGGGAAATCTGCGCTGACCGTGCAGTTCGTCACCGGATCCTTCATCGAGAAGTACGACCCGACGATAGAGGACTTCTACCGCAAGGAGATCGAGGTGGACTCGTCGCCGTCGGTGCTGGAGATCCTGGACACGGCGGGCACCGAGCAGTTCGCCTCCATGCGCGACCTGTACATCAAGAACGGCCAGGGCTTCATCCTCGTCTACAGTCTGGTCAACCAGCAGAGCTTCCAGGACATCAAGCCCATGCGCGACCAGATCATCCGCGTCAAGCGCTACGAACGCGTGCCCATGATCCTGGTGGGCAACAAGCTGGACCTGGAGGGCGAGAGGGAGGTGTCTGCCGGGGAAGGCAAGGCGCTGGCGGACGAGTGGAGCTGCCCGTTCATGGAGACCTCGGCCAAAAACAAAGGCTCGGTGGACGAGCTGTTCGCGGAGATCGTGCGGCAGATGAACTACGCGTCTGCGCCGCGCGGAGATGACCAGTGCTGCGCGTCCTGCGCGATCCTTTAAACCCCAGCGCCGCTTCTGGGTTCTCCGTCGCGTTTGTTGCCACGGTGAGAGCGCAAAGAACGACGCAGGAGGACACAACACGACAGACATCGCTCAGTTCTGCCGTGGAGGGGAAAGGTTCGGCCGAAAACCGAAGTTCTGGCACCGTTCATCGCGAATTAAGAGCTGGCAGAAGTTTTAGTTTTGGGGAAAGCGTCGCCTTAAAGGAGCCGTTCACCCGAGAACGAGAGTTCTGCTGTCATTTACTGTACGAGTTTCGTCTGCTGAACACAAAAGAAGATGTTTCGAAGCATGTTGCTAACCGAACAGCTGTTAGTCCGCTTAGCATGACAAAAAAACGTGCTATGGACCAGAAACGCTCTTCTTTTGTTTTCGGCGGAATACAGATGACAGAACTGTGGTTTTCGGTCGACCTGTCGCTTTAACTGTCATCAGTATTCCTACAAGTGTCCTACCATGTCTTGCACACGACAAAAGAATATTGAAACAAGTGTTTACATGACAGAATACTTGAATGTTCTGGGATTATATAAATATATGTATAGACAAACCGACAGGTTTAAATCAGAGGCGCCTGAGGGGGACCTGGCTGCGTGGTGTTGTAGTAATGAGTTTGTAGTTTATTTCGGAGGTGTGTTGCAGGATTTCTGAACTGTTGAGGATGAGTGGATCACTCTTCAGGATTTACAGCACACCGTTGATGTCAACACAAGTGTCTTGCACTCTCAACTGGAACTTCAACCCCAAAAACGTGGAGGTTAAAGCGGCGGTGTGTTGCTCGTGGACTTGGAAACGCTTGTTGTGAATCGTACAAAGTATTGCTTTCCGTGACGTCACAATTGAAACCACTCTCACGAGCCACTCCCCATTGAGCGCACGAGGACTTCACTGTTTTGACGCGAGGACGTCGGAGCTTACGCGTCGAGTGCCTTCCAAAAACCTGTTCAAGAGTTTAGTGCCAACCGGTTCAGTGCTTCACTGTTACACTTGCAATGGTTTCGGGGCTTAACGACGTTTAAAAGGCCTATTGTTTCTTTGTTTTTCTCTCCCAATACAGGTACTCCTGAAGCCCCCAGACTCGAACCACAAACCACTGTCTGTATGAAATCACATGTTTTATTTCGTTTTTAACAAATGTGATGTACCATTGAAATTCTAATCCGATTGTACGTTTCATTTCAGACTAGCTTTTTAACAGCTGTCTGATTGTTTTAAAGAGACTTTTAATACATGCATTTTTAAAAAAACTTCATGCACAGTGTTTGTTTGCCCTCCTTTCATTTGAGAAGGTGAGTGCTACCCTGCTCTCTTTCTCGTAAGCAGCTGGTGATTGTGCGTAATTTGCGCTGGTGTTCTGCCGGACAGGTCTGATGACACTGAACACATCGCGCTGGGTGGAGTTACAGTAGGGCTCGTGTAGCAGGAGGAGCTCCGCGTCCTGCACTGGAGAAATGATGACTTAAAGACACACACAGATGTTTGCTCGAGGTTTAGAAGTAGCCGTGTTTCAGATCAGGCGTTGGCCGCTGCGCGTAATTACGCATGTGTGACGTGTTCCTGTGCTTCCCAAATGTCTTAATGTTGGCTTTTAAGGGTAATACTGCATTTTTCAGTCAAAGGTAATAGCGTCGTCTCTGAGGAGTCACTAGTTGTCTTGACTGGGTGGAGTTCGATATCATTTTAGATGCTTTTGCCACTTTGTATTTAAAAAGTGCTGGATTTGTGAAGTTTTAGCACTTTGTTGGTCAGTATGGGCTACGCTTGTGCAGCTTTTATTGACGTGCTTGTTTGCACTATTAAAAAGAGAGCTCATCCAAAAACAGTCATCATTTCTCTCCTCGTGTTGTTTCAAACTGACTTTATTCAATGAAACACTAAAGATATTTTGAAAAATCTTGGTGAACACATAGATTTGATGTGAAATAGTCTTTATGTGTGTTCTACGGAAGAGCCAAACAATAGTTTGGAAAGATAAGGGGTTGGGAGTAAATGAGATAATTAAGTGAACTGTCCCTTTAATCTACATACTTCTGAGATCTCAATGTGCCTCAACATTTTTAAAGAGAGACAGTTCACCCCAAAATTAAAATGGTCACTATTTACTCTCCGCCAAGCTGTTTTAAACCTGTACGAGTTTCTTTCAGCTGCCGAACACAAAAGAAGATATTTTGGCGAATGTTGGGAACCAAACAGCTGCTGGTCCCCATTGACTTCCGCGGTAGTTTTTTCATACTGTGGAATTCAATGGCTACCGTCGAGTGTTTCCTCATCCATATTAATCTAAATATCTTCTATGTTCAGTGGATGAAAGACATTCATACAGGTTTGGAACGACACGAGGGTGTGTAAATGACAGAACGGTCATTTTTTAAGTGAAAATATCCCTTTAATTTCCAAAGACAGTCCTAACTTGAATAACTATTATTGATCACTCAATGTGTGACATTTTTAAAGGGACAGTTCACCCCAAAATTGAAAATGGTCATCATTTACTCTCCGCCAAGCTCTTCCAGACCTGTATGAGTTTATTTCTTTTGTGTAACACAGAAGATGATATTTTGAAGAAAGTTGGTCACCGAAGAGTTGCTGGTAGCCATGAATTACAGCATTTTTTTCCCATACTATGGAAGTCAGTGGCTGCCGTCAACTGTTTGCTCACCCTTATTAGCAGAAGAAAACTCATACAGGTTTAGAACAACTTAAGACTTGAGTAAATGATCATTTTTGAGTGAACTGTCCCTTTAATTTCCGTAGACGGGCCTAACTTTAATAACTTTATTATTGATAACGTGTGTCGACATTTTTAAAGCTCCTTTCAGAGGGGAAGTGGAACGTTATTCTGCTTTTTCTTTCTCTTCAGCATCTCTCGATTGTGAAAGTTTCACTTCCTCGACAGCTTGCCAGCATGTGATGACGTGTTTTTTTTGTGTTTGTTTTGCTCTCTTTAACAGGAAGTGCTCGTCAGCTGGTTTGTGGCCAGTTGGCGCTGGTGACTCCACAGTCACAGGTCTTCTGGTGTCGGGGTCATGCGATCTTGTTGCCATGCCGACAGTAGCCCGAGGTCTGGCGGTGTGAAGCCTGTATGTTCTACTTGGCTTAAGATCCAGCGTGTGACCCTGATTAGGCCGTTGAGACCGCAGCCATGCAGCGCTTACAGACAGATGCACAAATGACAAGCGTGCACATTTTCTCTGATGTGACTTGTTTGGCTGTCGATGAGCAGATGTGTGTTGGGCTGTGCCAGGCCTGTTGCGAGAGCTTCTTGCGAGCGTTAGAGGAAGCGTTGCAGCACAGCTCGAGTGCATGTGCGTGGTGCTTCTGTGCGGCTGTCTCTTTCCCGCAGCTTTCTCATTATCTTGCTCTGATTTTGAGGCTGTCTTGTACCTGTCTGCCACCTTAAAGCACAGTTCATTTATTCATTTTGTCCAGTATCTGTAAAGATGGGCTTTTATTTGTTTTAACTCCTTAAGGATTCTTTACTTGTTAACTGATTCATGGAGACCACGGGCCGGTTGCATAAACCGCTTAGACTAGTCTTAAAAAGTTAGTCATGTAATTTTTTTTCTACTAAACTGGTCATAGCTTTTTTAAAATCAGTTCCAAAAAGGTTGACTGCTGTAATTAGAATTGAGAAGTAAGACTGGTTAACTCTTGACTAACTAGTTCTTAAGACACAGTTTCTATGCAACTGGCTGCAGATTTAGTTTTAAATCAAAGATAAACTTTTAAAACCTTTTGTGAATCGTATTTGTTGTTTATATATAGTTTAGTGTATTTGTCTTGTCCTGAATGTAGTGGTAGCTGGCATCAGACTGAAGTGCAAACTAACAGTCTCTGGTCTTGTGGCAGTCTGTGTTGTAATTTGATGCAACTGTGTTGTAATTTAAGTCACATGACACGTTTGCTTTTGCATTAATAACCGAAACCCGTTATATGTGTAACTGTGTTGTACATGATGTGGTTTGTGTTTCATGCAGTCATGAAAACAGCCCTGTTTCAATAATTCATGCTAAGGTGTGGTTCTCGTGATGATTGGAGGCGCAGCCGCTGATAGTTCTGGGAAAACCCTCAGATTCCAGTCATTGTTGTCATTCCTGCCTGGGCTTGTCTGAGCAGAGACTCTGAGGCCTGTCCAAGCGCGGCGCTAACCGTGCTCTCCGCGCTTGGCTTGTCTGCGCGCTCTACATCAGGCCTCTCTGTGCTGCGCTCTGAGATCTGCTGTCACATGTTGTTATAGAGTGTGTCCACAGCTGCAGGCTTTGGGATGATTTATGTCATTAATTTTGTGAATTGAGAGAAGCCAAATGCGTTCCTTAATGGAGAAAAAATGGGACAAAGACAAACTGAGAATGTGAGAGTTGCTGTTTATCTGTGGATGTGTTCGTTCTGCTTTCTCTTGGCTGTGGTTTCAGTGGAGGTTCAGATGGACCTGTGTGATCTGCTTTCACACACAAACACACCAAACATTTCCATATATATATATATAATACATCATCTGTTGACGTGTATTTATATATAGAGAGTGTATATGTATATATGTATACTATTTTTCTGATTATTCTCAAATCTTGTTGGGTGGTAATTTTTTTGAATTATTCATAATGTTAATTTTTACTTTAACTCTTCACTCAAATGAAAAGATAATCTATTAAGGCATTTTCTCCATATATACATATTTACATATACACAATTTACATGATTAGTGTGTGTGTGTGTGTGTGTAAATTAATTAATTGTTGTTTAAAAAGTGGTCAGTGTGACTCTGCATTAGTCACCTATAAATTGAGGACACTATTAAATAAAGTAAAATAAATGTAAAAGATTATATATATATATATATTTATTTATTTATTTATATATATATATATATATATTTTTATAATTTTATTTATAAAAAAATATATATATTTTTTTTCCACTCTGTTATAATTTGAAATACAAAGATCATTTCTGGTCTCAGATTTTTGGACCTCAGTGTTATATGTGATTTTTGTGTGGAAGCAATGGTTTCAAACTCTAAATAAGATACTGGAAAGGTAATCGCACAGCTATCTTTAAGATATTCATCAGTGAAACCTTTCGGTTTTGCAGAACATTTTGTATCCTGTGACACGGTAACCCAATTGTGTAAAGGACAGCATTGCTGAAATGTTATCTAGTCAGTCATTGTTTCTCTAGACAAACCTCAGGTATGAGGTGAATGATCATGTGACGCGGCGAGCACACACGAGACCGTGCGACTCCAGACAGTCTCCGCTCAGATCTTTAGCACAGTTTCAATGTTAAAGTCAGCTGAATTTCCTCTGAAAGCATGTGGAAAGTCCACAGACTGCATTAGTGCAAAACAACAGTGTCACTGTAATGTTCGTCAGCATTGACGTTATGATAGACAGCTGTTTGTTTGTTATTTTTAAACATGAAGCATTGTTATGCAGGTTTCGGTGAAAAAGGAAGTTTTCGTGTAGTGCTTGTTTCTGTTCAGCCACTGCCAGGAAAGTAGGTGACAGAGAACAGAGCGAGGCTCTTCAGTCACGCTCTCAGCAGTCGCTCTGCTTCAGCCAAACGCATGTGTTTACGCAACAGAGCTTCTGTAAACGCCTGTCGAAAGTTCACGTGCAGATCCTCCCGGGAGAAAGTCTCTCTGAACCCCACGTTTCTTCTCTTGGAGTCTGTCAGTGTAAATGTTACTCCGTCTGTCTTCAGTCTCCGTGACCCACATCGTCCACACAGACGCTCACTCATTATTCTCTGTGCTTTAAAGCTCCTACATCACAGGGATGTCATTACATTGCTTATGTTTTTAGGTGCAAGTAAAGTCGAGGGAGAACCGCTGTTGCCTTCAGGGTCTGTGGAACCTTATTTAGTCTTATAAAGAGGAACCTTTAGCCCTGGAGTTGTGTTGAGATTTGAGGCTCCAGAGAACACAGTGATTCATGTGTGATTCTGAAATCAATCTCTCATGAATGATTTTCACGTGATCCAGTAGAAGGTGTTATTTAAGCTTTAACTCTCTGTTGTAGGATAAAACAGGAGTAAACTTCTCAGAAATTGCATTTTTATTGTTAATATATGTGACCCTGGAGCACAAAACCAGTCATAATGGTACATTTTTGGAAATTGCGAAGTATGCATAATCTAAAGACGTGTAAACTGGTTAACCACCGTCCCTAATGCATAATAATCTCCCAGTTCTGCCATTATTTAAAAACGTCTGAAGCTTTCAAGCTGTGCTGGATCATAAAGTGTGTCCATCTTTACAGAGGAAGTC